AGGACGTGAGGGCCAAAAAAAAAAAGGACCAAAACAAAAAAAGGACCGAAATAAAACTCCACCCGTTCTAAAGCTCTGAGACCGAGGTGGACGTTGCTCCAGGTCAAGATGAAAGCACAATTTCAGGACCTCCGATGTGCTGCAAGTGGGAGATGTTTCGGCCTGCGGCGCTGTGCTGCATTGTCCAGGACCTGTCATCTCAGGCACCGTGCATCTTGCTGCTCAGATCGACTGGTGATGGCAACAGTCTCTGCTTGCAGGCTTTCGCGTGATATGACGAATTTCGCACAGAGCTGAGCCTTGAGACTGGGCTCAAGATGTCTTGGCCAGAAAGGAGGATCGCAAAATGTCGTGAGCAATGCTGTGCAGAAGCAGCGACCAGGACTTTTATCAATACAGGTCGCTCATGCAGAATCTCCTTCCCTCCCTCCCCCCTCGCTCCCTGCCTTAGCTTGGCCATCTCTGCCCAGCCCCTGCCCTGGCTCCACCCCGCACTCTTGGAGCCCGGACATGGCGGAGCCAATGACGGCTCAAGCGCGTTTGAGTGTACGGACATGGTACATGCTTGTGAACTATAGCTTCGGAATGTCTCGGAAATCTGAACTCGGCACATACTGTATCTAATCACACAAGCAAAATGTCTTGAACAGTATTCGTAGAACGATTCTCCAGTATAGTGCATGTTTCGTAGAACCTACGCACTACAAACATCGGCACCTCAAGGTTGCGCAGGGTTCAAGCCTCCCTGCAATCAAACAGGACGACTCTGACCCGGTTCAGGGCCTGCGGCATGCCATGGTCAGTGACTTATGCCAGCTGTGGATCGCCCTCAGGCCCAGCTGCTGCACGTGCAGGTTAGACGTTCCTTCTGTGGTTGGAAAGGAGTTTGCTCCACCACGCCGTGCACTTGCAAGTTCCGGACAAGGACGGCAAGAGATGCGCAAGGGAGTCCCCTCCCTCCTTCAGGTTCTGAGGGGCCCTGACGCTTCTCTCCTTTTGCCCCAGGAGTGACCACAGGCCGCCAAGATGTTTGGATGTGCCGATTACCCTGCCCGCTCGCTTCCGCGCTAGTGAGCGTTTCCTGCGTCTAGTGCTGGAGGCGTGGCCCCAGCAAATCTTCTCTATGGATCGAGAGTGGGCATAAGGCACAGCTGCTATCTGCTAGCACAATTCTCTGGTGCTCGCTTGACCGTTTCGTTTTTTGTGCGTGTGCGCATTCCTGATTGACCTGTAGATCTTGCGCGGAGCAGCGCTATGTGGCAGCCTATGCCGCAGCCGAAGGCGGAGAAATGCATGTTGCTGAGACTTCGTACACCAAGAAGAACCGACCAGCAGTTCCCTGGTCCTTGGTATTCTGTTATGCCTCTGCCTCTGCGCATGAACTTGGTTGGGACACGACAGGGCATAGGGGCCCCGCTCCGCGGCTTTGTCGTGTCTCATCATGGTGAAAAGAAGTGAGAGCACAGCGACGGGGTGGCCATGGGTTCCTGGACCCGTCCCTAGCCCCGAGTGGCTCCAAGCACAAAGCGCACTAAGTCGCAAATTTAGAAGTGCATCGCAAAAGATGTTTTTGCTAGCACAAGCTCTTTTTGTTTCAGATTGCTTGCTGTCCGCAGTGTCGTCAGTCCAAAGAAGCAGGGTTGGCGCATGAGGAGTCCCACGGAAGCTTCATCAAGTTTCACTCAGGTAACAACAGTTAGTATCTTGACCAGGTGGCTTTGATCTGGATGTGCCCAGCTTACGCCCGGCAGGTGAGCAATGAACCAGCTAGGTTTCGTTTGGCTAGTCGCCAGCAAGTTTGCTCTATGGAAAGCAAAGGGCTCCTTCGTGTAATTTCGTGCAACTCTTGCCCAGGTTTCGGGATTCCACCCGCTGCGGCAGGCAAGCTTCAGATGAGAGTGCAACGAGTGAGACACGCTTTGCACTGGAATTGACGCGTGCAGGGTGATGCATCCGATCGTGGAGCCGACTGCCCATCAGAGTGGGTATTACTGCAGCCACCCACCTGCACAATTTTCAGATGGCTGTCCTGTTGTTGCCTTACTGGCGAGCCACTAAAGCTTCCAGTGCCACTCGCTTTGGCCGCTTCCAGGTTTAGCAGCCAGAAGCACCGCGGCATCGTTTACCTGGGGGATGAAGTATGCTTCGCACGAGAGCTGCGAATTGAGAAGCGGAAGGACCTGTGACCTTTGTAACCTGGAGTGGTGTTCCTCACAGACTCGATTCTTCATCAAGCCCTTCACAGGACCGCTTTGCATACTTAGCTTTGGAGCCGAACTTGAACAGCGACATGGAGCCAGTAATTCGAAGGGTGACACCGGGGGAGGTGCAGAAGTGCGATACAGCCACGCTTGGCATGACCATGTTCTCCCTGCAGGTCACGGATGCATGCAAATGGACCCTCGTCCATGCCGACGGAGAGATGTCGGGCAAGCCAGTACAGCTATGATCCCAGAGAGAGACCACATCGTGCAGCATGGCTAGGACGTCTCATAGTCCTCAGGTGCGACATGCCGCTGCTTCTCCGTGGCAAGTACCACGATTGTCTTGCTGTGGGCCGCTCGCTTTGGGGTGCCCCGTTGCATACACCGGATTTTTCGATTTCTGAAACAAAATTTCTTCTGCCAGGTACTGCGGTGTCCCCAGCACGAAGATCTGGAAAAGCTTTGGTTTGCAAGGTCCCATCTGTCACATGCTTCCAACATCTTAGATAAGGAGCAGGCAGCCCAGGAGAAACAGAATTCGTCGAAGCGCCAGTGGGTGTTGAGACAGCTCACTGCTCGAGCTCGCTGCCGTGATGATGCGTAGCGGTGTAGAGAGCCAATTGCGACACGTGTACCGCACTGGTCGGTCAGGGGCGAGATGCCCGTGTGCCGGATCTTCGCTTTCGCATTGCGGGGGCCTCAGCCGCGTTTAGACGGTGGCCATCTTCTGGTAGATGCTTCGCCGCTTCGTCTCGTGCCTGAGAGGTGAGGGCCGGAATCCCTTTCAGCCCGGAACTTGCGAGTCCTTCGCAGCCTTCGCCACCGCCACCGCTACTGGGGCCTGAAGCAGAGGGCGAGCTTTTCAGTCAAAAGACTTTCGAAGAGCAGGCCTGAGCCTAAGAACGCCCAGAACGCAAGAACAAACATGCAATCACGCCCGTCTTTTCCGCAGGAGCACTTGCTGTTGGATGACCTGCTCTATTGCTTACAAGGCCCATTTCCATGATCGCATTTGCATTCAGACCGGACGGATGCAATGGTCATCGCCCAGGCTTCGAGGGCACATTCATTCGACAGAGCTCCAGTACTACGGAGCCCATCTTTGAAGTGGAGGTGCCCCCAGGCGCGCTCGAGCCCGCAGTCGATTGCCGCACCGTGAAAGATGGTATACTGATCAAAAATCGCGCAGGTGCCGATACTTCGACTGCCCAATTCGTTCAGCAGCTATTGCCTCTGTGCAATCATCATGCGAGTGTGCAACAGTTCGTTCGTCAGCACAGCAAGTATGAGTATGGCATCTTGCTTGCAGACATGTTGTTTTTGCTGGTCCTGGCTGCAACTCTGTGCATCCTTGCCGTGAAGCACGTACGTGTGTGTGTGTGTGTGTGTTTGTTGGTTTGCTTCGCCTCTGAGCAGGCACGGTCAACCACGCATTGTGTGCAGCACTGCGAGATTTGCTGAAAGAGTTTGCCAGCAAGGTGGAGCCGGCATGGGAGCCTCATGACATGCCATGGCTGTTCTGCCGTGTGGCTGTCACAGAAACCGGAAGCACAAAACAGGATATTCCTGCCCCCTCGGACCCCATGCCCCCTCTGGGCGGGGTTGGGTCGAGCAACCCCCTCTGGGTTGGGGTTTAGGGAATGCCTGTCCCGCTTGAGCATGCCCTTTTGCCTTCAATCTCCCTTGCGGTAGATGTGTGTGGGTTTCGTTCTCTCACGCCGATATCAAGATCCATAACGCGACGACAGCCATGAGGATCGCGACAGCACCGCTTCCCCTACAACAATATCATGACCCATCAAGCCACGACAGTCGAGAATCGCAACCCTAAGCGATCATCATCATCATCATCATCATCATTGCCGTCATCATCATCTTCCTCTTCATCACCATCACCATCAACACCATCATCATCGTCCTTGTCACTGTCATCATCATCATCACCACCATCATCATCATCATCAACAGCATCAAGACTTTGTATCGTGCTACAGACGCCAGGTTTCCAACAGTATTTTAGTCTCTTCCCCCGATGATGAAACGTCCTCACCCCCTCCCGGCAAACATGAAGGCCGACTCTCTGTGAAAGAATTTTGAGTCTTAAGTGTCTTGACTTAGCATCTTCACTTTGCTTGCCGGCAACGGCTCTTGCGTAGCTGCCTCAAACCTTGCGGTCCTGCGTGCCTGCGGTTGCTGCAGCCTGCAGTTCCCGGGCAGTGCCTGCAGTCCCAGGTTCCTGCGGCCCCTGCTAGCTGCAAGCTGCAGTTCTTGCAGTCACCTCTTACGTTCTAGTACACACTCACTCACTCACTCTTGTATCGTAAGGTTTCAGATGCCGGGATAATCCCTGGCCCTAGACCTAAATGCCGAGAGGGAAAGGAACTCAACTCGCACGTTCTGGTACGCACTCGCTCTTGCAATCGTGAGGTTTCGCGTGCTGGGATAATCCCTACACAAAAACTCTGCAAGAGAGAGAGAGAGAGAGAAAAAAAAAAGAAGGTATCCTATATTTTTTGGCTAGTAACGCCTTGTGAATACCTGCATGAAGTTCTCTTGTGGTACCTCCTCCACACCCGAAAATACTTCGGGTGGACCTGAGGCCCGAGGAGCCTGAGGAGGACCAACGGGCGGTCCTCTTTGTATGGTATAAGATACCTCCAACGTACGCGACAAACGTTCGTGTCACTGCTCGCGAGATTTGCTTTCTGGATGGTTTTTGGGTTCCCGGGTTGACCTTGTTCATGGATACAGGGTTTCATACAGTCTCCATTTTACGGAAATGTTGCAACTGTTTCGTGAATTCCCACAGGTGCCGACCAGAACACAGATTTGCACCGAAAGAAATCCTAACGTTTCGCCGTCCGCCTCGGCCTGACTGCGGCGGCAGCATGTGTCTCTCAGTCTTCAGCTGAGGGACTGCAAGTCTCGAAATTGGACCCCAAAAGCGCGTGTCACTTTTGGGCTGCAGGGAGGGGGATTCGGTTGTGGGCCATGGGTACGAATTGTCGCACTCATGTTGCTTGTGGGTGTTAACTGTTGGGGAGAGCCCATGCGAGCCAAGAAGTTCGACTGGTTAGAAGCAGTACCAGGACCTGAGTCATTTTTAACGGAGCAACACTGTGACACAGCCCACTCTGGGGTTGGGTGGAGCATGGAGAGGGGGGAGGGGCCGGGAGGGAGCGGGGCGAGGTCGAGGAAGGGTGGAGGGCAGAAAACTGTCGGAAATGGAGGAATAAGGGGGGAGGGAAGGGGAAGAGCAAGCGAGTGGGCCAAATCGCGAGGGAGGAGGACTGGGCAGAGGGGATCAAGCTAAACATTTCTATTGTGCCATCCCCCTGCCCTTTCTGGCCACACGGGCTCGCTGGCCCGAAACTTGAACACGTATCGAACCCCCGCAGTATCCCGTCAAAAGCAGTTCAGTGGCTGCACTTGTTCTGGCTTGTCTACACCGAAGAACGAGTCAAGGATTCTGTTTCTGGATCTGGGCCCATGCTCGTGAGTGTGACAAACTATGAAGATGATGATACCGAGCACACGAAATCGTGTACACAGATCCAGTAGAAAGTATAAATTATGAAAGAACAGAAGTCCTTGTGGATGCCACCACTCTCTACCCCGTGGCTTCTTCCAACATTTTTTGCACTGCACCTGTGACAGGTGGCTCGGTGGGAAGCAGCGTTTCGCGCTGGCGAACTGAGCTTGGCAGAGTTGTGGTACCAATCCCAGGCTTCCATGGACACCTTCGCCCTCTTGCAGCTTGGGCTTTGTCGTGCACAAACAGCAAAAATTAAAGCCGAATTGTTCATTTGTTCATGCTTGGCGTGAGAGTTGCTTCCAGGAGTGACCTTTTGTTGTTTTTCGGAGAAATTTCGGAGGGTGTAGGCGCGGCGCCTTTGCAAGATGTTGCTGATGCGAAGTCTCCCTTTTCCTGATTAGTACAGGGCCCGGGGCTGAACCCCAGCCGAAGCTTGCTTGGGCCCGTGAAAGACTCAGACTGGCCTTTGAGAAGACTTACCGTGGATTGTCGAACACCGACCTGCACCTGAAAGTGCTCAGCGGGGGGGGAAGAACGGTTCTCAACACTGCAGCCAGACGTTGGGACTTCATGTGTGTCAGTGGAGTGCCTCACACTGTAAAGTGAAGCTTTTGTACACAACCTCCAGACTTCCTTGGGGCCGTCATGCTGGTAAACGGCCTTCTGGAAGTCTCGGCTGAGTTTTCGCTATGGGCGCTTTATCTTCTAAGGCATCGAATTACAGCGCATGTATTTGGCCAACTGGGCGGAGCTGTCTTGAATGGCAGCTGCGAGGCAGTTGATTTGTTGCGGGTGTGTCAAGAGTCATCTGCATTAGGGCATAATCCGATGATGTTCTCTTCATGAGGAATTGAAGAAGTGATGACGAAGACCGGTCTTGCTGCAGCTCAAGATCTGTGTGAACACCTACTGCAGCAGGCAGCTGGGTCTGCTAGTGTTTTGGGGCAGTCTCGAGTCTGCTTGATCTCAGGCATAGAGTGGACATGGCCATGTTAGAATATTGCCACCTCCGGATCCTCCCTGGGGCTCTGGAGGCTTCGCGGCCGTACTTTGATATGGTGTCCCTGTGGGTCTATGAGGGCCAGCTACAAGATCCGTATGGTGAATTCTTCGTGCGGCTTGTCTCGCTTATTTAGCCGCTGCATCTTTCAGCGTGTGGTTGAACAGGTTTCTATGTGTCATCGTTTATCTCGCTTCGGCGGCCGAGGTCTGAAAGCTCTCGAATCCGTGATGAACGAACTGGCGGTCCAGCAGCGGATTTCTGGCAGAAGCACTTCACCTTGGATGAGAGGCTGCGAAACACAGTTCATAAGAAGAAGCAAAACGATTTGCAACGAAGGACAATCGCACAAAAAGGTGCGGAGAGACAGAGAAAGAGACAGCAACCCCTTCGCATCCTGTAGAGAGAGAAAGGGAGAAAGAACCAGATCACGATGACTGAGGGGGGGCAAAGCGGACGATCGTATGTGCATTTTGTGCATGTGTTTGGGCCACCCCTCAGTCACCATGGACAAAGCTCAAAGCCAGTGAGTAGTTCGGACCAGCCCGGGGTTTGGCACAAATGGTTCTGCCATCGGTTAGACGCGACCACCTTTGCATGATCTGGCGCGGCATTGAGCTCCAACATCACCTCAGTAAGAGGGATGGTGTCGTGGTATGAAATGCGCCCGGACACCACTTGCCGTCGTGGAGTTGGAGTGTTGTGGCCCCGCCTCAAACAAAAACGCTCCTGTGCAACGTGTGCCCAGGGAGGAGGTTCTGTGTGCCACAGTCAGTGCGCTGCCTCTCTGTAACAATGATTGCTTGGAAGACCCAGGCCCTAGGTCTGCACTCACCCAAACCTGGCTGAGATACAACAAGTGCTGCACCTTCGCCACCAAGTTGGCCGGCGTTTTCCAATCCATGCTTCGCCAGTGCCACTGCACCCAGGACTCTGTGGCATAATCTTAGCCAGTCATTGCTGCAGGGAAGGAATTAGGCAGGAGGAAGATGGTTTGGGAAGCATGCTGGCCTCAGCTACCAAGACTTCCCGAAGACCTGCCAGACTGTACATGTGATTGAGACACATTCCTGACCACCACGTACAAGAATGATGGCGAGAGGGGTGTGGCGGGGAAGAACGACACTTCGTTTTTTGTTTAGTGCGGTCGATCGTTGATTGCAACTACATCCCTCTAAAAGCGTAAACCAGCAACCAGCATAAACCCTTTGATTGCCGAGATGCTGCAGGGCTGTTCCTCAGTTCTTGGCATCTGGCCGGGAACGTATTCTTCATGCAGGCAGGGAGAAGCAAAGGCAGCAGAACAGCATGGGGGCACATGCCACTGGCTGTCTTGAGCCATGCAGGAAAGTACCTTCACATCTATTTTTCGGCAGCTGGCAGACAACTGGCAGAGCCAGCAGGAGGACGGGCACCCTTCCGCTACTCCCGGAGCCGGCGAGATTATGCCGAGGCCTGCACTCTGAATTTGAAGGATAGGTGCAGGTGTACCGCATGCTCCTCAGCCTCTCGCGCCTTCGGACTCCAAGGCTTCGTCCAAATTGCGTTGAAGTTCGGCAGAAGGTCAAGATTCAGTCGAAATGTGGGTCTGTGGGATCTAAGTTTAAGATAGAACACGAAGATCCGTTTCGAGTCCCAAGCCTCTTCCGTGTCCAGCCTGGCTGTGGGAGTTCATGAAGTTCTATGAGAAACAGCAGACACATGACCCACCACCCGACACCCTGCAACGATGTGCGTCTGTGCCCCCGACCCCACACTATTTACATGTCGCAAAATCCCATTTGACTCCGCAATCTGCCTGCGGAAGTGTTTCTGCTGTCGCAGTAGATGACATCATGCAGGAAACTTGCGGTGTTTCGTGGAGCTGTTACTGGGGAGGAAAGCTCTGCGGAGCTTCAGACGAAGCAAGCGGTGTGTCATGACTTGTGTGCATTCCCTTACCAGTTTTCGAGCAGTACAATAGCGAGTCTTTTTTGTTGAGTATGATTGTGGATACGGTGCTAGTTCGCGCTGATGATAGGTCGTTCAGATATGAACAGCCATTTAGAGACTTCCGGATGCATTCCGAGGAAGCGAGTTTGGGCAGGGTATCATTTGTTTGTGTGCCAGAGCTGTGGCATTGAAGATAGATCAAGCCAAGCATGTTGCGAGGAATAGATGAATAGAGGCAATAGACCCTCTCTCTTGTCACTTGCGTTTGTTAAGCAGGCCATAGATGTGGCATACCGGCGTGCAGCTGCAGCTTTACTTGATCTTTTCATGAAGCCGCAGCCGGAATCTTGCTTGCGATCTTGACGACTGCAGCTGTGTTTTTTGTGCGAGATCTCCATTTGCCATGACGTTTGCCTTCGTTGAGGAAGGCCTCGACCTTCTGGGTCGGCTGAAGTCCCTGCGTCATTTCTTCTTCCTCAGCAAGGCCTGGACAAGCCATCGCCATTGCATCCTTGATGTGAGAGTTCTAGGCGGACTGGTTCGGACACTTCTTGGATACCGCTGGAGAGCTGGAACGGCCTGCAGAAGAGATACCATTGGCCCGGCTGCTGGCTCGCAAGGCTGCAAGAAAGCTGGTAGAGGGTTGTATTTGGGGCAAGGTGCAGCGTGTTTTATCAGTCCCCGACATGACACGTGAAGTGACGTGAAGGCCGGAAAAACTTGCAAAGGAAGAGCAAAAACTGCAGTTGTTCCAAAGCCTGAGACGTTGTCCACTTTCAACGTCACGGAGAATTTCAGGAGTTTGGCGCCAGCAAGGTTTGGATGACGGTTGGGGGATGTCTGAGTAAAGTCGGCCTCCGAAGTCGGGGAACATGTCCCGTAAGCGAGCCGCCACTGAATACGAAATCCAAGGTTGGATGGCCTTCTTGATTTGGCTGTGCGTGCGTCCTCTTTGGCTACCGACCCATATCGTGAAGACATCTCCTGCGGCCTCCATTCTTTTCGCGTGGAGGACCGGGCCTGCCCAGTGACAGGAGTTCATCATGCAAAGTAAGGATGCTCAGCAATTCGATTGTGTGTTGTGTAGAACAGCTACTTCGTCGGCTTTCGTCTTCTTGTCCGCGTGTCAGCTGGAGACTCAATAGATTGCTTGTGGCCTGCAGGACGCATGCCACAGAATGGTAAAAGGATCCGCTGAAGATCCGGACAAGGAAGCCGTTCCATGCCGTTCCTGGAGCATTAATGCGACACAAACTGTAACATTTCAGTCTGATAAGCTTCAGTCTGCCTGTGTTGGTGGGCTTCTGACGGCCGAGGTTTGGGTTGTCTGCGGCAGCCACTACCGGCTACCATGTAAGATTTTGTACAATTGCAAGATCGCTCTGGATGTTCATAATATGGTTCATGTGTTTGTGTGTGTGTGTGTGTTCCTTGTCTCCGGCTGTGTGTAACGTGGTTTGGTAGTGGCAGGCAGAGCTGAAGCCACGAAGGATTTCTGCTTCTCTCTGCCTGCGCCACGGCAGGATGAAGCTTCCATCTCGGGGGTTGCTGCCTCTGCACCTTCAGCCAGCAGCTTCCCGAAATTTAGCCATGATCGTTTAGGGTGATTTTGGGGGGCCGTTCCGCGCTGTTATCCTTCTACGGGCATCGGTTCAACAGCTGGCTTTTGCATGCCAGTGTTCTGGATTGAGTTGGGGCAGAGACGCGATACGAAAGTTGAAAGCAGAGGTGTTTGTAAGCGTTTTTACTTTCAGGCTATGGCGGCTGTGGGAGCTCAGGGTGGGGAATCTGCACACTCGCAAAGAGCTGTCCCCTGAATATCTTGACGTCGACCCGAATGAGGCTACGTGTTCGATCCACACTCTGCTCCGGTGAAACTTCCGAGAGTGATCGCATGGTTCGGTTCGCCAACCATGTCTTGCATGTTGCGATGCATTCCTACTCGAGGATTCAACAACACCGCCATGGAAGTCCAGGTTCCGTTGGAAAGCGGTCTCGTAGGGTTTGCTTCTTTCATCGAGGAAGCTTTGGTCACGCTTGGAGAGCGAAAAGGCACAAAGTGCAGTACCGTTCGCATGCTCCGGATCCAATGCCTCTTTGGCGACCCCGCCAAGTCATTGTGGCGACCAGAGAATCGAGCAAGGCCTGCATGACGGCTTTGCATGCGGACGAAAGCTCAAGGTTCATTTTCTTCATGATGGAAGATCAGGGTGGAGCTGTGGGACCTGGTGGTACGGTCTGAAAGGTCTTGAGAGGTCTTCGCTATCTAAATTCAAAGCTTTGGAGCCCTGGTGGTGGCTGGCAGGGGTCCTGCAGCACTTTTTTTGATCACAACGTGGATTCCTGCAACTGCAACTCGCCGTTGCTCCAGAAAGTAGCAGAAAACGGCACTTCTTCCGTCGAGCTTTGGGCAGCAGCGCCGCCAATCACGGTCAGGCCCATGCGATGTATGAGCACTGGGTACATCGTTAAAGCGGCCACTGGCGGCCACAGGTTAATTACCAGCAGCTAGCAGATCCCAAGCGCCCGGTCGGGGTGCGTGGTGGACATTGATGAATAGCGGAAGTGAAGACTTGCGCCCCGTGGAGGCGTTTAAACATGCCTTGGCGCAGTGAGGACTCGCACAAGTAGAAGTCTTCTGCTGCACGGATGTTGTAGGGTTTGTTTGCAGAGGGCCGGAGGATGAGCAGACGGGGAGCCGTCCGATCCCAGCTTGAAACTACGGAAACGGCAAAGAGAAGATGTCATCGAGTACACATCTTTCTTGATATTTGTAGCCGTGAACTCGAAGTGTTCCAGAAGGATACGAACACAAGCTCCGGGCCACCTGTGGCTGGGGCCAACGATTGATGAAGCATAGCGAAAGAGCAATGCAAAGCATTGAAATGCCACCAAGACAGTGTTGCTGAGCAGACCACGCACGTGCGACCTTGAACTCACTTAACTATCCTGAAGTATAAGTAGTCTCAATGCTCTCCTAGTCAGAAAAGCACACATGAAACATCGCAGGCTTTCTGTCCTTGACTGTGCATTACCTGTCCACGCTTTGCAATCAATCGGTTCATGCCGTTCGCTGCTGCACGCAAGAGCCATGTTGAGGTGTCGGGAATGATGGCTCTGGTGTGCGATGCCTCACGCTGAAGTACCGTACTGCTTGGCCTCTTTCAATTCTGTTCTCTCGCACCATCTTGTTGAAGTACCAGGCAAGGGCACGGCAATGTCGCAGATCACGTGCCCGCTTGCCTGGTGGCCTGGCACAAGAAATGCGAATCATGAGAGGTCATCTTCCGACACCTACTCTACTGCCGCTACGTTGAACGGAAGCTTGTGGAAGTCTGGGTGGACCATCAATGCACCAAAGAGCTGGGCTTGGACTCTAGTTTCAGCCCGTGCCACGTCTGCCAACTAGTAAACAAGGTCTGCACAAGAAGGCATCCCAGACTGTCCCGAATTACCCAGCCTAGGTACTATTCTCTTCGGCAGCGGATGCTGCACTTCTGCCGTGACTATATATACTATGTCACAGTGGAAGTCTTGGAGCCGAAATCGCATGAGTTCCTGGCAACACTGCGCCAAGCGGAGACAATCGATGATGTGCTACATTGCCTCAGGCTTAGAATGGCTTAGACTTGAAGGGCTTGGAGCAAGCAGCGCTTTTCATAGCACGTTTGCGGATTGTGGGAACTTTAGCTAAGGTCATGAAAGTTTTCTGGAAGCCTGCCTGCGCGAAGTTGTTCTTACCGAGAGAGACCTCTACAGGTCATGAATTCCACGGTTGACAGTGCAGCATGCCGCTTGCAATACAAGTCTGTGTGGCTGCTACGGAAGGCATCTCTCGAAAGTGTTGCAAACATGCTTGACCTTCGCTCACAATCTGCGGAGGCACGGCATCCGATGATAGCCCCATGCTTTTGACACGCAACGGCTGGCAGGTTTTCGCACAGTATTGGGGTGGAGCCGTTGGAAGAGCCAATGGATGGGAAGACTCCTGCCGAGAGAAGGCGGAAGCGACAGCGGAGGGTGTGTTTGCTGGGAAGAACCACGTTTCGACCGACTCTGTGCTCCGTGCAGGCTGGCAAAGGCGCGGCACAGCACGCAGAGCCTCGGCAGATTCGTGCAGCACTGTGCTCTCGGGATCTCCCGGGCTCTTGCATCATCAGCTAACTGCACTGCAGATTTGCTGAGAAGTGAGGCGATATCTATCCCTTCTATCACAGAGGCACATGGCATAGCAGAATTCTCTCTGCATGCAGACCGCTGATGAATGGGAACTGAAAATTTGATTCAACAACTTGGGGCCGGTGGAAATAAACTCCCGCGAAGCCTGACGTCCGAGTCTGGTGAAGTCAAGTTGGGTGCTGCACGCATCGGGCAGAGACTATTCCATGCAGTGGCTCGCGGTGGACGGGGTTTCCCACGAGAGCTTCTCCTATCTGGCTCACCGGTGGAAGTGGCATCCTGGGAGGGGAAGACCGGGGCTGGGCTACAGGTCGACTGTGCTTGTATAGATCTAAGTGCCGTAGACCTCCGGCCTCGGCGGATTCAATCCATGTTACATCATGCCGCATGTTCACACCCAAGCCAGAATTTCAACAAAGAGCCCTTCCATACACTGCACAGGCACTATTCGAAGATGATGGCTAAATGGAAGACCATTTTTGAAAGCCAGCTGCAAGCATTTCTGCGTCAGATCCAGCAGCTCGAGTGCGAACAGCTTTTCAAGAGTTCCGCTAGAATGCAATCGGTGAGCAGTTCTTCACAGACTTTCGCATCAAGGCAAGAGTCCAAAGCTCGGTATGAGCACTTCCTGAGCAACTTGGCGACACGCCTTGACTACAACGACTACTACTCCTCGGTGCTGACAGGCATTCTGCTCTTTCGAGTGCTAGTGAGTGTGTATATCTTTCCATCCTTGTGAGAGGGTCTTGTCGACTGCTCATCAGGCCAGCCTGACATGCCACCTCCGTGACACAAGTTTGTGCCTTCTCCGCTGAGTGCAAAAGGATGGTTCCACCGCAATCTCATGCTCGCCTGAACAGAACCGCTTCACGCTGGCGTCTGCAAGCGAGCCCAAATTGATGTAGAGCACATAGGACCCGTGGAAGTTAAGTTCGCAAGAATGTAGCATCTGTAGCATCTAACAACGGGGCATCACTCAGCAAGATACAAAACCCCCGGAAGGTGCAAGAAAACGAAAGATTAAGACTACTTAAGACCGCTGGGGCAATGGTGGCTTCAAGGGATGTCGCTGTCTACCTCATCATGGCAGGTGCCGCTGCGACGGAATATCGCTGCTCACCCGTTCTGAATGACACACGGCGTACCAGGCTGTCTCTTCGAAGCTGTGAGCATACCCTGGCTTCCAAGTGTGGATTTCAAAACACGCTGGTGGAAGCACCAGGAACCTGCGAACCAATGGACTCGGATATGCCTCCCCCAGCAATATCTTTTTTCCCAGGCAGAGGGTTGTAAAACGGGGTGTGCTGCCCAAAATTCTAGTGGCACGATCCAGATCTCCTCTGGTTGAAGATTTCCTGCTGCCTTAGCTTCAGATGTGTAAGGTCTGGGTTTAGACATGCTTAGTGTTCTCTCAGAGGTACACAAGCGAGCGAGCTTGGCTGTATATCCCGGTCCTGCAAGTTTGGTCGGGCACTTTGGTGCCTCGCACGGGGCATGAACAGTGCCTTAGAACTTTTCACCGGGGTTGGTGGTGGCTCGACTCTACTGCTGGCACACGCCTTGTCGGGAGCTTCGCACCGGCGTCAAGGACCAAAGCGAGGGTCGTACTTCTTTACTATGGAGAGACATCTGGGAAACGCCTATCATGCTCAAAACATCCTGGAGAGTGTGGGAATTCCAACTCAGATCCTTTCCTTGGCTCGGCCAGAAGGGTTGAACAGTCGCATGGCAGCTCTGGTGAAGGAGAATCCTGGCGTGTGGATTCTGCACGGAGACGTCTTCGAAAATCTGGGTGTTTTCAATGCGCTGTGCAGCAGCATCGGAAGTCTTGACTTGGTGATGCTGGACCCTCCACTGGACTTACGAGGTGTTTGGCCGCTGTTAGATACGGCGTGCAAGCCGAAGTTCTTGGCAGTGCACAATGCTAATCTGCCTGGTCATGCAGGGTGGCTGCCCGCCCACTTGCGCCGAACAACAGGAAGCTGGTATGAGATGATGAACGGATCTCTGGCAAGGGGAAAGGGACGGGGAGGTAAGGGAGGGGCGCTTCGTGGAGTCAGAGTCCACAGCTGTCCAGAACCAGGCAGTGTGCGAAATGTCTGAGTCTGCTCAGGATCGCATCCGTCGGTTTGGGAGCGCGGCGAGCGCTCCTGGTCTTTGATGGGACGATGCTGGTGACACGAGACATGTCTGCTGTGTGCAGAAAAGGGGCGCTCCGGATTCGCATCTCGTTTCTCTCTCATGAAGACTGCGTGTAACGCGGGCTACCACTGGGTCCGCGACTCTTGCCCGAGACATCTGCAGGAGAGTATTTGGCTTCAGGCTATGGCTAGCGTCAACATGTCAATGCTAGCACCTCCAGCCTTCAGGAGCTGTCGACGGTCCAGAGATCTTGTGCCTGGCTTGTGCATGCATAAGCTTGCGGCAGTACTCTGTCGTGGCCGGACAGGATGTACAGAGCCTTGGTGTGCTATGCTTCGGCTGATCCTGCTAGTACGCAGCGAAACGGGCACTCCTGGAGCAGACGCATTCAAACTTAGCTAAATACCCGGATGCGCCCACCCCTCCAATCGAATCCCAGGAAACTTGGCATCCAGTTCAGCGGCACTCCTGACAAGATCTTCGTGAAAGTCGTGACCCAAGAATCCTTCGGTTGTATACATGGAGTGCAGGCCGGAGACGAGCTCTTGGAAGTAGACGGCATTCTCCTTGACATGCTGGAGAACCAGTTTAAAGAACGCTTAGCAGGACGCCCGATTCGCTTGAGGTTCTCAAGCCCTCACAGCTCGTACACTGTCGCCGCAGATCACGAAAACGAAAAGCTTGGCGTCACATTTCATGGAATGCCACCCGGTTCAGTAGAGGTCAAGAGTGTCACAGAAGGTCTTTTCGGAAGCGACAAAGGCGTGCAGGAGGGAGATGTGCTCACCGATGCCGGTAGAGATTCCTTGCAATCACTGGATGGCATGAGTGCCGAGACCTTTAAGAGCTTTTTGAAGGATCGGCCTCTGAGGCTGCGTTTTCAGACTCTGCAGAAAGCACGGCGACCCATTGAAGAGCATGAGCTTCCTCGGCAACATTCCAGAACTGAGTATACAGTGGCGGCAAGTGCTGACACTGGCAAGCTGGGCATCAGCTTCCACAGCATGCCTCCTGGCAGGATTGAAGTCAAGGGCGTTGCTGCGGGCCTGTTCGGCAGCACAAGCGGTGTGAAGGAGGGAGACGTCCTGATAGAAGTCGGCAGTGACGACTTGCAACCCCTGGAGAGCATAAGCGAGGAGGCATTCAAGGGATTTCTGAAGGACCGGCCACTGAAGATGAGGTTCCTTGCGCCGGCCATTGCAACAGCTGCCCCAGTCCTTGCGGAGACTTCTTCCAGTCATGTGGATCACGGCACCGAGCAACGCACGCAGAGCGAAATGCCGGCAACAGACCGTTCGAGGGATACGTACACAATCACCGCAGGCTTGGAAGTGGGCAAGCTTGGCATCACGTTTAACGGGATGCCACCTGGTCGCATTGATGTGAAGGGCCTTGCGGAGAATTCTTTTGGCAATGATGCTGGCGTGCGCGAAGGAGATGTCCTCACCGAGGTGGGAAAGGACGAACTTACATCCGTGGAAGGTATGGACTTTGAGACATTCAAGCGCTTGTTGAAAGATCGGCCACTGACAATGAAGTTCCAGTCCATGGGGGAGGCTGTTCCAGCTGTTCAGTCTGCTTCGCCAAATGATGCAGCAGCCGCTGCCCCTACTGTGGCCACGAACAGATCGGTTGCTGAGCAAGAAACCAC